AACACTTCAAAGACCTAGACAATATAGCATTTAAAATGTTTTGTTAACATAGGGCTTTTCATAACAATGAGACATGTCTGCTCCTAGCAGCACCAATTTACTTCAGAGAAGATGATGGGCATTGAAGAAACTCCATACGGAGTTTGCTTTCACTGTGGCAAGGTTAGCCACTGGGCAAGAAACTGTTCTTCTCTTGACTGCTGACAGTATGTGCTATGCAAGCTGGACAAGCAGGATAAAAAGGAAAAAGACTGTGGAACTTTGCCAAGACAAAGCAGAACAGTCCTTCAAAATTCCTGCTTCACAGAAAAGTCTGCTACACATTCTACAGGACACACAGGAGAGTGACTGCTGAACTTTGCTAGACCAGGTGGGACAGTCCTTCAAAATTCCTGTTTCATCAAGTGTCTGCCAGATATTCTAGGCCTGTAGGCTGAGGACGGATGTCCCCAACGCTGCAAAAGAATCTTGGTGACTGTCCAGGCAGCCAGCGGTTCCTGTCAACTCTTACAGTTTGGGAAGTTGCTTGCTCTGCACTTCCTGTTTACTCAGGTAAAATATCTGGGGATATTTGATGAAGTTGAAGACTAGATAGTTATATTAATAGTTTTCCTTAGTTATGATAAAAGGTAAATTAGGTACAGAGCTTTGGACTCACCAAGATAGGATTAATAATTTAGAGTATTTTCTCTGAATTTGCCAAAAACAAACAGACTGGACATTGTAAATGTAATTCTTACCTGATAATTGTTCTTTTGTTTGGTTGGGGTTTTTTTTGGAGACAGGGTTTCTCTGTGTAGCCTTGGCTGTCCTGGAACTCACTGTGTAGACCAGGCTGGCTGGCCTCTACCTCCCAAGTGCTGGGATTAAGGCATGCGCCACCACAGCCAGCCTGATAACTGTTCTTATTGTATATAGTTTTACTGTGTTAAAGTTAAAATCTTTCCTTTTTTTTTTTTTTGTTTTTTGTTTTGTTTTTTTCGAGACAGGGTTTCTCTGTGTAGCTTTGCGCCTTTCCTGGGACTCACTTGGTAGCCCAGGCTGGCCTCGAACTCACAGAGATCC